GTTATCAAAACAAACAGACAGTCGAACAGTATGATAACCTTTTATCGTTTCATTTTCGGAAACGGTGTCGTTACTTGTTTCGAATTGTCCGATATATCTTCAGGATATTTTTAGGTATTTATTCTTAAGTTTTGAATCTTTTTATCCTTCCCATTAAAAGCATGAAGCGCGAAGACATTAAAAAATTTTCATCCTCTTCAACTTTTTTTGTGCTTAGCTGTTGAGTTGGTTGAAAAAATTGGTTAAAAAAACAGTGTAGAGCAGGAAAATTTATTCTCCATTATTATAATGACCCTTCGAACCTTTTTGAAAATAGAATAAATGAATTCAGCGCATATTCATTATTTTACCGATCATAATTTGACGTTATTTCGATCACATGGCTGAACAATTCAAAAATAATGAAGAATGAGGAAAAAATTTTGTAATCCGCGCCATTTATATCTCATTATAATTTTATACCTGCTGGAAAACTGAACTGTTAGGACTGAAAATGGGCGTTTTTTTTACAGAAAAAAGGTATATTTTGATCTAATCAACTTTAATATAATGTAAAAAAAACTAACGAAGGGAAAAATCCTGGATTTGGCTTTGAACAATTGAGTGAGATATCCTGTTTTTGACATTTTCGGTTGCGGTTGTGATTTTCAGTTGTGACTTATTACCCTTAAATTTCAGTACCAAATTATATACATTTTATACATACTGTTCTTGTTTTTGTTTGTTTCGAAAAAGGGCAGCGGTTTCTAGTGGGTGTTACAAATTACAGTTTATTATGCTTGCAGAGTAATTTTTAATCAATTTCTGGAAGTTCAACTCATCAGTTCTTGTTCGATCTCGATGATGAAGAAGCTCAAAAACAATTGTAATTAGTTATTTTCCCTAAATAATTTTTCGATGGCAACTAATTGCGTGTAAAAATGAAAAACCGATCAGTCTCGATGAAAAACTTTATGTTTCCATTTCAGATTTTAAGTTTCCATTTCAGTTTGTTGTTCCAAAAAATCAAGTGCCACAAATAATAAACGGAATCAGTTGAGTGATACATCACATTAGAGCAACTTCGAAAAAATTCAAAGTAAAAAGAAAACAGGTTTGAGTTTTTTGTCTAACTTTTTTCTAGTCTAATTTCAAGCACGTACTTCAAACGAGTAAGTGCTATAATGGGAAAAAGCGTTTATTTTAGCCGTCAAAAACATGTTTTTTTTTCACTTCACTAAGTGTTTTTTTGGCAACAAGAAGTTTTTATTCAAAAAAAGTCTGGAAATAATTTGCTATTAATTTTTTAATTCATATTCGGACAAAAAACTGTCTGTCCAACAAGCCCAAGTTATGTTTTATCGAACAAGCCTAAGTTCGAGGCTTCCATTCAGACCTTCTTATGGTACCAATGCGTAATGCGACAACTCGCATTAAGAAACTTTTTTTTTTATTGTGAATTTATTGTGATCGGAACACTCTGTACTGAGCCAAGTATAGCAGCCAAGTATCTTTCTTCTGGTTTTGATATCGTTCTCATCAATGTAAAAGAATGAAAATTCCGGCTCGGAAGAGTTTTTTTCCACAAGCATCTTGTGTTTCCAAAGTGCGATGTAATCATTCGAATTATGTACAATCTCTCATCCCTTTTAGTGTTAATTAAAAAAAACACTTTTATATGAGTTCTTATCTATCATATGAGTTTCAATTTCAAAGATTTCGACGTTTTTTTGCTTTTTAAACTTTGGGACAAAATAAGTAAAACTTAATAATTTCAGAAAAAAATTATTAGCTTACTTTTTTAGAGAAATTATACTTCTTTAAGAAAAAAAACAAAGACTGAAAATTTCTTTTCTTGATATAATGTGCTCCTTGCACAACAACCTTGCTACTTTTGGTTAATCTTACTAAGAACTAATTAGGACGGCGGTTTTTTCAGCCTTAGCTTATTGACCGCGTTAGTGAATTTGGTTTTCTTTATGCTCATCATTTGCAGAAAATTCATTCAATTTATCAATTTTTTTATCACAGCTCCACAGCATTAAATCAAGGGCTCTGACTTTTAGACCGTTGGGCTAACAATTTGCCTGAATAGATATTTAGGCGTAAGACTGTTTTCTTCTTTGAACTTTTACTAATGCGAAATAACGCTTTGTGTGTTTGTTCAACATATTGGATCTCCCATGTACCAAAAAAAAATCTTTATTTCTAACCTTAAATAATTTACGCCTGGTCTAAATTTTATTCTAATTTGAATTCTGGTTAGAAAATTTCTAAATCTAAGCTATTACTAATCAGAAAAAGCGTATTTCAAATCTAACTTCTTTTTAGAATTTTTCCAAATCTAGGCTATTTCTAATCAGAAAAAGCTTATTTTAATCTAAAGGCTGTTCAGAAATTTTCTAAACATGGGCTATTTCTAATAAAAAAACCTTAATTCTTATCTAATTTCTGTTTAGAAATTTTCTAAATCTAGGTTTCTTAAAACAATTGACTTTTAAATATTCAAGTTTAAATTAGCCGAAAAAATTTAAATTTCCAGAAAATGTTATCTGCGACAGTTCATTAGAAGGCCAGTTTAGTGATGGTCGGAACAAGAGCCGAACTTGTCTTAGGGCAAAACTAGGAAAGTCCCGAATGCCCTCATAATTAATTAAAGACACGATTCACCTTATTTATTTCCACGATACGAGCACAATATGCCTGTGCTGCGATCAGGTTCCCGCCCTCGACCGCCATTGCAGCCAGACACGCCCACAGAGCACTGCCCTTTTCCGGGAATTGTTCCACGGAGACTGCGGGTTGCAATACCCTTTCGACTTTACTAAAACAAAAACAGTGAACAATGCAGATCGAAGTTTTTACTGAAACAAAAATTGAAATAAATCTAATATAAACTGCAAAAAGCGAGTTCAGATCAAATTTTTTGATCAAAATGCAGTTCCTGATTTAAAAATGTTTTGGCACAAATGAGTTACACTTGTACGATTGAAGATAGTTTCAATTGTACACTTGAAGATTTGCAGCTGCTTATCAGATATTGGTGAGTAAATTTTGACCAATGAAAACGGTTTAATAAAACGACAGTCTGCCCGCTAAACGCGAAACGCTAAACGCTAAACGCTATCTGTCTTTTTTTTGTCTGATAAGTTGGGTTTGTCGGACTAATTAATCCAAAAAATGATGAGCTAAATTTTTTTAAATGATAATATCAAATTTCCTTGATATAAAAGACATTTTTAATATGCATGAAAAGGCTTTTTACTTTTTATTGGTACCGCTGAATGTGGAGAGACATTTTGAAATCGTGTGGGCTTCAGCTTTTTTATTTTCGTTTTTTCTTTTCCACTGAAAAACAGGCCCCATGAATAATCTTCAAATGGGTTTGATTGATACACCACATTAAAATTCTTTGATTGTTTGTGATTTGAGCGAAAGTTCAAATTTTTAGAAAAACTTTGTCTGTGTAATGTTTATAGTCAATTTTTATAACAAAACAAACTTGTGGAGCCAAAAAAACATAAATTTGTTCAATAAGACTCCTAGGTTGAAAACTCTTTAGTTTTTTTTCTATTTTTTGTTTTATCTTGCGAATCAATTAGTTTTGATTGTAATAAAAAATTAGCAAAAATCATTGTAGTCAACTGAAGCTATGCTTAATGTCTCCAAGCTCAAATTTTGTCTTTTATCTCAGTTTTGAATGCTCATAAAATTACTAATTTTTTCAAGTGATGAGAAAACAACGTTCTCTGAATTATGTTTTGAGACTATTGTGGTTAGAGCCTTCTGTGCTACTTGTGAAATGTGTTGCTCTGAGTTTTTTTACTAAAACCTGAAGAGTTTGTAATAATTTCCATGCATGTCTGAACTTTATTTTGAACCAATTACTGTCATGAATTTATTTATAATCGGAAATACTTCAGAGTTTTTCAGAAGGATTATTGAACAATCCTCTTGAGCAAAACTCGGTTGGTATAGCCCCTGCATCAGAAAAACTTGGAAATCAGATCTGAGCTTCTTAAAATCTTGCTAGTTTCAGACTTTGTGCAGACATGGTCCATGTTCCGTTTGGACATGGACCTTTTTCAATTAGGACTTTATCACAAATGCTGACCTTCTCAAGGCCAGTTTCATACCTAAAACATACATGGCCTTATCTGGCTAAGATCTGCTCGGATTTGACTCAGATTTGAACAGATCTGACCCTAGTATGTTCCAGGTCTGCATTTGTGAAAATTTCATACTTGCTTCAATCCTGAAAATAAGCAATTTTCACTTCAAGATTTTTGCAAGATTACTAGAAGTTTTCGACTTTCTTATTAAAGAATAATCTACGAATTCCTTAGAAAAACTGAAAAATATCCAAAACTCGGTTTTAAAAGCCAATTATGAAACAATTAAAATTTGAATATTTTTGTTTATAACAACAGGAAATGGAAATATACATTGAAAGCACAATGAGTTTTTAAGCAATCAATGAAATTTTGCGTATAACTATTACTCATCAGAATAAAAATCAGAATAAAAATTTAAATTTTTTTTGACAATTATCATCTCAAAGCAATTCTAGGCAAAGGGGAAAAGTAATTTAACTCATTAAATTAAGAGCCTATGAATCAAAAAATCAACTATCAATCATCCGTTTTTGATCTAAAATTATTGCAAAAGTTTCAAAAATTCACAATTAATTGTTTCAAAAAATTTCTCAAAGTAAAACTTTAGAACGATTGCCAATTCAATGGATATTTAGGACAGTGAACGAAAACATCATAGTTTTATTATTTTTATTATTATACATGTATGTTGCAGTTCTGGACAAATATGCAATCTCCTAACAAATGCCAGGTCTGAACTTGTGGTTCCAGCCAGTTCTGAACATATATGTTGCAAATCAGCTCAGATAAATCTTACAATGAATGGGTTAACCGGGCATATCTGTATTTTCCTTTCTTTTCTGCACAGTAGATGATTGGATTGGAAAAATGGTTATATAGACCTTGTTTACAGGGTCCTTGAGGTTAAACCACTATTCTTAAAATCCTATAAAGAATTTACCAAATAAACCAAAAATTGTGCTGAAAGAATGTGTTTTGAGCACATACAAATGGTTAATAACAGTTTTATTGCAAAGTGCA